AGATGAGTCTTCCTAATCCTAAACCCAGTGTTCTATCCACTCTGCCACCTAGCTGCCCCTCATCAAGTATACCCCCTACTTAAAAAAAAAAATCCCCTCTACAATATATCTCTTGATTGATCACCCAGTGATTGGGAGCTCATTATCTTCCAAGGAAGGCTATTCCAATTTTGGATTGCTCTAAATTAGGAAGAATTTCCATAAATCAAGTCCAAATTTGTCTCTTTGCAAATTCCATGCATTTCTCAGAGTTCTGCCCTCTGGGGCCATCTGGAACAAGTTTAACCCTCTTCCAGCCCTTTAGATAGTTTTTATATTTTCTCTAAGACTCTTCTGCAGGCTAAATGTCCTTGTTCCTTTAGCCTATTCTCAGATGACAGACCCTCCACCATCCTGATTGCCCTCCTCTCTTCAGCTTATCAGTGTGCTTCCTATGGTATGGCTCCCAGAATAGAACAATGTGCTCCAGATGTGGTCTGATGAGGACAGAGTAGAGCAGGAAGGGTTACAACCTCTTGCTTGCCTGTGTATGTATTTATATTCAAGTGGAAAAAAACCCCTAAGGGCAAAATGTCATCCAAGTAGCTGTTTTATTGAGAAAAAGGAATGGAAATAGGCTTACATTGATTGTCATGGGGTTTTATAGGATATAGAGCTAGGAGGGTTGTTATTGACCTTCCCCTACCTCACCCCCCTCATTTTACAGAGGAAGAAGAAAGTAAAGAGACCTAGAGGGGCTACCGTGATGTGTCCATTATCACACAATTAAGGAAAGAGGCAACAGAAACAACCGGGGGAAAGGCAAATGGGGAGTGGTGCAGTGAATACAGCTCTGGGCCAGGAGTCAAGGCAACCAAGTTCCAACCCAGCCTCAGACACTTAATAGCTGGGTGACCTGGGGTAAATCATTCAACCTCAGTTTCCTCAATTGAAAAATGGGGATGGTGAAAATAATAGTACCTCCCTCTCAGGATTGTTGAGAGAATCAAACATATAATAAGTACATATTAAGCACTATATAAGTGTTTGGCTATTATTACTACTATGATGGAGTGAGTTCATATTCATCAAGTGCTTGGCACAATGCCTAGCAAATAGTAGACATTATATAAATGCTAGCTGTTATTATTATGAGTACTATCAAATGAGATGTTTGCAAAGTGCTTAACACAGGGCCTAGCACATAGTAGGCAAATATATAAATGATAGCTGTTTTTATGATTATTATCACTGTCAAATGAAATAATATTCATAAAGTATTTAGCCCAGTGTCTAGCACATAGTAGATATTATATAAATGCTAGCTGTTGTTATTATTATTATTATTACTATCAAATGAGATATTTGCAAAGTGCTTACCATAGTGCCTAGCACGTAGTAGGCACTATATAAATGCTAGCTATTATTGTTATTATTAAGTATTGCTATTTTAGAGCTAAGATTTGAACCTTGATCTCCTGACACTAAAACTTGTCTCTTTGCACCGTACCATGCCATGGAAAGGACAAGATGACCCTTGCCTCCCCACTTCCATAAAAAGCAGCAAAGGGCTTAGATGACGCATACGTTATATAAGCAGTGGATACTTTGGATATTTGATTTATGAAAAATGAAGCTTTTAAGTTAGAGAATGAGCAGACCAAGAAGGCAGCTTGCATTGCCACAGATGTCAGTGATTGTGAGAAGGCCTGCATAAGAGAGACAGCATGACACAGGGCTATAGGCTATGCAGAGTCACCTATACCTCAGTCTCAGTTCCTGCTCTGCCACATAATAGCAATAGCTAGCATTTAGAGAGCACTTTAAGGTTTGCAAAACACTTTACAAATATCTCATTTTGTCTCACAACAACCCTGGGAGGTGGGTACTATTATCACTATTATTATCCCCATATTACAGACATAGAAATTGAGATAAACAGGGACTTAAGGCACATATTGACTATGTGACCCTTTACGAATTATTAACCTTTCGCTTCAGGCAGCTAAGACAAGCTACATGGGGATAGAAGGTTCATCGATAGGAGCTCCCTTTACCAATGAAATCACAGGTCTGATTTAAAATAAATAAATAAAGGCCTTCTTTAAGGGTTTTTACATTGTACTAGAGCATTAACTCTTTACACCAAAGAACTGAATGTCTAACTCTGGTTGTCAGATATCAGAAAACCAAACTGAGTGAGAGAGATATTTTTGGGAGGTAAGAGAATCTAACTGGTCCCTAAAATCATGCTCTATCCATAGCCACTAAGTCTATCTATGGGTCATAATAGCCCTGGACTTGACCATTTTAGGGATAGGGATGAGATTGAGAAGTATGGGGCAGAAGGAGATTGTTTGTAACAAAGGAAAATTGAAGTCTGGAGAAACTTTCAAGATATATTGCTATGCATATTTTGAGTTACTAGGGGAGGGGAAATTCAAAATCATAAGAAAAGTTGGCATTTTACATGGAGATTTAAGAAAAGAAAGTGCTTTCCTCACAATGATCCTGTGAGGTAAGTGGTGAAATTTTTATTATCTCCATTTTACAGATGATGAAACTGAGACTCACAGAAGTAAGTGACTTGGCCAGGGTCACATAGAGCCAATATCTAACCCAGATCTCTTGACTCCAAGCCTACCACTCTTCCCACCAGAATAAAAAAAAAAAAATGTTAAGAATAATCCTAGTTTATTTTACAGATTAAGAAATTGAAGCCCAAAGAGATAAGATTTCACTGGTCTAAGATCAGTGGCAGGTCTAAAACCAGACCTTGAATTCAGGTCTTCTGATTCCTGTCTTATATTTTCATTCTACCAAATCACATGCTTCTGTTGGTATTTCCCCTATGGGGCAACTCTAATTTCTTACGCCCGCCTCCTGATTCTCTGAAATTGAACACCTAACTCATTTGATCCATTTATCTTACCCGGTTTCTCTTATTTTTCTATTTTTGCTCTCAAGTTTGTGGGAGTGTGTGTGTGTGTGTGTGTGTGTGTGTGTGTGTGTGTGTGTGTAGCTTGGGACCTGGATGTTTTCTGCTTCTCTGCATTTTCCTACAATGTTAAGCAAGCTGACACTTCCTCCGGGTTTTGTTTGCCCAGCATTGCTGCATAGAGAGAAAGAAAGATTGCCTAAAATACCTCAAACCAGTCACAGGGCCTTTCCCACTGGCTCCCCTCTACTAAGGTGCAATTAGGAATAGTATTTGTGTATTGTAAATTTCCACCTGCCCCGGCTGCAACTCCTGGGGATTCATCCTGGCTTCTCCCTTGTTATTTTCCTCCTCCTTGTCTGCACTGTCCTGGTACCCAGGACATCAGCCTGGGGTCATCCACTCTTTGTCAATTCCTCCATCTTTTTAAGCCCTCAACTGATCATAGGTGATTTCCAGCTCTGTCCCAGTATCTCCCATCTCTATGCTTTTGTCTTCTTTCACTTTATAGGGTCTTGCTGCTGTGGCAGTCTTCATTCAAAGATTTGGAAGAGAGCCTGCCAGGCATCAAGACCACCATTCCTACCTTCTTCCTCTAATCATAGCAGACCAACAATCATACCCTCTCTTTGGGAATGAAACCAGAAAAGAGAGAGGAGTGCACACCTGGCTCACTCTGCCTTCCTGGAGGCCAGAGACTTGATTGGAAAAAGTGTTTGACACAGTGAGAATGGGGTGCCTTGGAGACCACCATCCATAGGAAGAAAAGGAACCAAGTGACTGCTTGATCCTTGCAAGAAACAAACCTGTTGCTCTCTAGATATCCTCACAGACAAATCCAAAAATAAACCCCTGGAGGTGCTGCCACCACAAGTCAAAGAGAAACTGAGACATGCTATGTATGCCAGGCAGCCCTGGGCATCCAGCCAAAGCCTTGATATTAATGGAAATATCACCATCAACCAGCAAGTGAGTCCTGTCAGACACAGTATCTTCCCTTGACCCTTAAGAGGAAGGGGTGGGGGTGGGGCTAGGGTTTGCCAGCTCCAGCCATGGACAATCCCTACTTGGTGATCTCGATGTCTCAGCATTAGATTCCCAGAAAGAAAGACTTTAGACTTGCCAGGACTGGGTGGAGGGGAGTGCTGGAGAAGAGGTGGATGGAGTGGATCAGTGACTCAGCACTGATGATGTCAGTCAACCTCACACTCAGGAAGGAGTCATCCTCATAGCCCCAGAAGGCTGGGGAGAGCAGCTCAGGGATAGCCCTTGGGAAGGGAGAGGAGTTGGGGCATGTTTGAGGAAACAGCCCTGACCACAAGAAAACTTTTCAAGCATCTTTGCCCTTGGGATACCTGAAAGCTAACTCAGACGTTTCCCTGTGAGCAGATGAGGGGGAGGGGGCCAAGGCCCCAGGTGCTGAAAGTATCATGAGAAATAAGAGTATTGAAAGACAGCCCCAAGCAGTCCTGGCTGTCAGAGAAAACAAGTCAAGTCACATGGAGCAGGTGCAGAAAGACCCGTCACAAGGGAACAGTCATTGATGGAGCAGAGGAAGTATCAAAGACATGGGCCCTTTCTTGTCTTTCATCAGAGTGTGTTTTTGTCACAGAATTTTTTTTGGGGGGGGGGGAGGGTTCAGATCTACAATTTGAGATAGAAAACTTCCAAGGTGGAAGCTCTCTCCACTTGTACAGATGGATAGTCTTAGAGAATGGTCTGGGGCACTGAGAGGTTAAGTGGCTTGCCTATGGTCCCCCAACTAGTATGTGGCAGAGGCAGGTGTCCCTGCCCGAGGTCCACTCGGGACTTGCCTGGCATAAATCACACAACTACCAAACGTCAGAGCTAGGATGATACCTTGAATACGTTTATTTTCAGTTTACAGATAAGAAAACTAATGAGACCAATGTCTGATAAGAAGTCTGGAGACCCAAATATTTCAGAAAACTACATGACACTTGCTAGGATTCTGCTAGCCATGGGCCCTTCAGCCGGTCCTTTTTCTGTTTGTGGCCCCAGGGGCAACAGCCTTTGTCCCCGCCTCATGAATCCCAGACTTCCAAGAGAGAAAACAGCTTACCGAGTCTGGGACAGCCTTCTGGGACCAGCTGGTCCCCAAGAGCCAAGAACGGGACGGCCAAGAGCACCAGGATGACAGACAGCATGCTTCCTCCTCTTCTAATACACCATTCTCCAACTGGGTGGTCTCACTTCTCCCAGTGTCCATTCGTCATATCAGGTTCAGTCCCCATCCCTGGGGAGCGCTGTGCTTCCCAGCCGACTCCGCGCCCCTGTCTCGGCTCCCTTCTCCGCTCCCAGGCCGGCTCCTTCCTCGCCAGCCTCCTCTCGCTAGCCAGCTCCGCTCGCTCTGCGCTTCTGGTTCGGCTCCTCCGGCTCCGCGCTCCTCTCCCCGCCTGCCTCTGCAGCCCAAGCCGGGGCAAGAGCAGCGAGCAAGCGAGCGCCCAGACTCCGAGTTCCCTCTCTCACTCCCTCTCTTGTTCACTGCTCAGCCAGCCCTGACCGTTTTAGCTCAACTTCCCACTTATACATGACTCAGAGCAGTGGATAGTCCTGGCAAACACAGGAAAACATTTGAGGAACTCAGCTCTGCTGCGGCTGTCGACTGTCCCCATGTGCGATTGTGAAATCGGGGACCGATTGAGCAACGGCAGCCTGGGCAAGAGGGGAGACGTGAGGGCGGGGTGCCAGCAAACACTCCACACCTGAGCGAGGAGACGTGAGAACTTATGTTTATAGCACGCCCTGAGCTTTCATAGGCTGATTTCTTCTCAGCGACACAGTTGAACGTCGGTATTATTGTACCTGGTTTACAGACAAGAAAATCGACGCTCAGAGAGCTCAGATGACTTGCTAGGGGACCCTAGAGTAAGTTAGTGGTGCAGCAGGGACGTGAAGTCAGTCCTTCCTCACTCATAATAATAACTAGTATTTTATACAGGGTGTTTCCCAAGTCCAGGCAGTTGGTTTTAAACTGACTTTTGGGAAACACCCTATATAGTACTTGTAAAGTGCTTTACAAATATTCTCTCTTTTTATCCTCCTAACAGCTCTGGGAAATAGGTGCTATTATTATCCCATTTTACAGATGAGAAAACTGAGGCAGCTTAAGTGACTTGCTTGGTGTCACACAGCTAGTTAAGTGTCTTAGGTAGGATTTGAATTTCAATCTTCCTAACACCAGGGCCAGAATTCTACTCATTTTGCCACCTCTTTAGTCCATTGCTTTTCTTAAGAGGGCGGAGGGGCAACCCCTCCCCCCCAACCCCCCAACCCCCGCTCCTGCAGAACTCTGTTTGGGAACAAAACCTTGGGGGGGAAAAAAAAGGAGGGCACTCCTTTCTTCTCCCAGGGTCACTATTAGGAAAGCAGCGAGCAGCTTTGGAATTTAGCTAAGGGACAAGCCTCTCCCTCCCTACATAGTGATCAGTTCCTTAGGCTCAATGGTCCCTGCCTCAGGCATCCACATTAATAACTGCCCTTTATAGTTTACAAAGCACTCTCTTCACCGGTAAGGTAGATGGTGCAATTATCACTATCCCAGGTTTACAGATGAGGGTACTGAGGCTGATGTGTGTGCTGAGAGCCAAGATCCCCATAAGATAATAGATTCAGAGCTGGGAAGGACCTTAGAGATCATCTCATTCAACCACCTCATTTGATAGATGAGGAAACCAAAGCTGAGAAAGGTGAAGTGTTTCATTCAAAGTCATAAAGGTAATCATAAGTGATAGGGCACGATTTGAACCCAGGTCCTCTGCCTGCAGGGCCAGTGATTTTTCCACTGTATTTCAAATGCTTCATTTCTTTCAATCAGTAAAAGACAACCTTTGCCACTGGTGATCTGTATCAGAATGTTACAGTATATGCCATACTGGATTGTTATTTCATAAGCAAGCAAGGTTGAGCCAGAATCTGAAGAAGCTGACTGCAAGCTTTTCACTTCTAGAACCTTTAACTTGAGAAATCAGAAAACTGGGTGGTGAAGCAATATTATTGCTCTATACCTATGAGCATTGAGGTGTTGCCTCTCTGCAAGAAGCACAGTGCCTGGTACATAGCAGGCACCTTCAGGAGTTTGAGCCAGCTCAAGCCAGCTTAGGAGAACTTACTGTTAAATTCTCACTGTGAGCATTTACTCCTTTTTTTTTTGCTTTTTGGTAAGGCAGTTGGGGTTAAGTGACTTACCCAGGGTCACACAGCTAGTAAGTGTTAAGTGTCTGAGGCTGGATTTGAACTCAGATCCTCCTGACTCCAAGGCCAAAGCTCTATTCACTGCACCGCCTAGCTGCCCCCAAGCATTTACTCCTAAGAAATCCACAAAGGCTACAGAATAAGAGCTTGTTTTTCTATTGTTGATCATCTAGATAAAGTGATAAATAAAATGCTAAAAATGCAGATTAAAATTAAAAGTATATTATATATGTATATATATATATATATTTTCCAGAGAGCTAGTCATTAAATATTTGCCAGCACACTCCTGCTTAATAGTCATTGAGCCCATGGACAAGTGCCTACTATGTGGCAGGTAGTGTACTAAGTGCTGGGAATGCAAAGGCAAAAGACAGTAGTCCCTATTCACAAGGAACTCACAGCTAAATGGGGAGGAAAGACAATATGTAAACTATGTCTAAACAAGATATGCTGGAAATAATAAACAGAAGGAAGGGGCATTAAACAAATGCTGATTTGAAAGGCAGTGTTGTCTGGTGGAAAGAATAGAATTTGGAATCAAAGGACCAGGGTTGAAATTCTAACTCCACCTGTGTGACCTTGTACAAGTCCTTTAAGGTCCTGTCTAGGCTTCTGTTTCCTGACTTGTAAAATGAATGTTTTAGACTAGGTTTAGCCTTTGAATTGCTCTCCAGTTCTAGGTCCATGGTTCTCTGACCCAACAGGTTGCCCAGCAGTGATAGAGTTAGGACTGACAGCTGCCTCCAATCCAACACTTCGTCTGTTGCCATTGTTTGTCAAATGAAGAAATTCTACTACCTTTCCAACCCAGAATGTATAAACTGAGACCCACTATAGCCAAATGGGCAAAGAGATGTTTCCAAGGTGAGTGGATGTGAATTTCACAAACCAGCACCATATGCCTAGAAAGGACAGAGAAGAGCCGTGCCAAAGGAATGAGTTGATGGCAGCTACCATTTATCAGGGGTGGGGAACCTGAGGCCTCAAGGCCACATGTGGCCCTCTAGGTCCTCAAGTGCAGCCCTTTGACTGAATCCAAACTCATCCTGTGAAGTTTGACACAGGCCAAAGGTTCCCCACCCCTGATTTAGACTAAGCTGAAGGGTCAGGGAATTTATTTTCAAGTTTAGGTTCTAAAGGGGCAGCTAGGTGACTCAGTGGATAAAGTATTGGCCCTGGAGTCAGGAGGACCTGAGTTCAAATGCACTAGCTGTGTGACCCTAGGCAAGTCACTTAACCCCATTACCCAGCCAAAAAAAAAAAAGTTTAGGCTCTACAGAGGTAACTGATAGACCTAGAAAAGGACATAGAACAAAAAAGTAACTCTTTGCTGGCTTGTTAATTAAGTTGGTTCTATTCTGTTAAAAATTGCTTCATGTGAAGATTTTACTCTTTGTTTTATAATATTTATTAAATTATTCATTACTGATGGTTTATTAGTTTTATAGTTTTATTATTATTATTAGTTTTATATTATTTATTCTTATTAGTTATATTATATTATTTATATTATTATTAGTTTTACAATATTTTTAAGATTTGGCTTTAAAATTATTTCCAGAAACTTCTGCTAAATTGAAAGCAATTTATGGGATCAAAGAAACCAAACCCTAGGAGGGACTTTAGAATATAGAATTTTAGAAATCCCAAAATATAGAATGATAGTGATGGAAGAAACTAGAGAACATAGAATGCTGGAGGTGAAAGGGGTCCCAGAGACCATCTAGTCATGCAATCACCTTACTTGACATCTGAGACATGAGGTCCAAAGAACTGAAGTTATTTGCCCAAGCTCACACAGCTTGTGAGTAGTAGAGTCAGGATACAAAAGTTCTCTGACTCCAAATACAGAGCTCTTCCCATTATTCCACACTGCCCAGAGTGGAGGCGCTTCTACACTGTGGCCTCAGGGTATCAGTCAAGGGATGTAGTTATCCCTTTCACATCAGGACTTTCCCCATCGAGTTTTCGATTTATTGCCAGTTGGCATAAGAAATTAAATGGGAATTTTGGGGGAGTTCTGTGGAAGCCAAGACTACACTCAAAGGCTAACAGACAACACAGAAAAAGTTTAAAAACTCAGAAATGTGTAAAATATATGCATAGTATTATATAATATCAACATATTTTATCTTTTAATACCATAATAATTCAGACTTTCACAGAATTTTACACAGATTTTCCGGATCACGGAGGCGCTGGGCATCTAACTCCCGCGATGGGGAAGGGATAACTGTAGATCCTAAATCAATTCAAGAACACAATTTTTGAAGCTGACTGGAACTGGGCTCCATGACAAGAGCTGTGCGTCTGCTTGAGAGTGGAAGGATAAGGCACCGGGCATGGAGTCAGGGAGACCTGGAGTTCAAAACCAGCCTCAGACACTTATTAGTTCTGTGACCCTAGGCAACTCACTCTGTTTGCCTCAGTTTCCTCACCTGTAAAATGGAGATAATAAGTTTATTATTATGTATTGTTATAAAATAATATAAGTTATAAAATGAATTATAGAATAATATAAATAATATTATAAAATAATGTTTTGTTTTGTTTTGTTTTGAGTGTGGACTGATTCATTTAGTTCTCCTGTGAAGTCCCTTTAAGTTGTAACAATGGACCAGAGTATCTCATTATTTCACCCCTGCTTCCTCTTCCCCTGGAAGGGGCCTAACGTCTACATGGACACTAAAGTGTTGCTAGGGCTGGGAAGATACCTAAGGTGACTTAGAGGGTTGTTGTAAAAATCAAACGAGATAATAATTGTAAGGTGTTTTGCACAGTGTCCGGCACATGGTAAGTGCTATATATAAATAGTAGCTATTAGAAAAAGCAAAAGGGAGTAAGTAGACATGTGGGACCACAGATTGAGCAGTCCAGTCCTGCCATAGGTACCTGGAGCCACAGCTACAATCAGGAGGCTGGTCAATTCTAGGAGCCATCAATAACAAGTATAACTTAATTGATGCCAACATTTTTCCAGGGCAAATGAGCAAAAGCTCATAGATTGACTGTAAAATGATGGAATATAACATCAGAAGAATCAGTATTGCAGACGATATTGAACCAAAAGATAGTAGGTTTCTGGATGTAGCTTAAATTAGTTCATAATGGCTGATTAAATTTTCAGTTAGAGCATTTATACCTGCATTTATACTTGGAAATTGACAAATGCTACAGATCAGGGCTTGATTTATTGGGTTTTTTTTTTTAATGTCTAGACTTAAGAAAGTGATGGAAAAAATGTTAATAATGCAGTATTAATTTAAAGTGTTCCCAGAGTTTTCAGAAAGCTGGTTGTTAAACATTTACCAGCACACATTTCAATTTACATTACCCAAATGCAATGGAGAGGGGCAGCTAGGTGGCACAAGGGATAAAGCACTGGCCCTGAAGCCAGGAGGAACTGAGTTCAAATCCGACCTTAGACCAAACACTTGACACTTACTAGCTGTGTGACCCTGGGCAAGTCACTTAACCCTGATTGCATTTTAAAAAAAAAGGCAATGGAGAGATTAGATTTTTAA